AACTAAAAAACAAAGCCTGATAAAATCATAGATTTCAATGATGGTGTTTTCCAAATATATCTACATAGAATGAATGCTTAGCTTTTAATGAGACAAACTGACATAGACAAAACCCTTGCAGCTTGGAAGGAACCAGTTGATGGCCTATAAATAGAATACTTTTTGTACATTTTTTAAGTAATTTTGAGATAAAAATTAATCCAAGAGGATTAAATCAATCATTAGATGTTTACGCTCTGCATCCAACGTCTATCGAAAACAATGAACACACTCAAACCTGCCCACTGGTCAGCATCACCCAAGAAAAACCCCCCCCCCCGGGGGGGGGGGGAGGGGGGGTACGACTTGTTCGTTAAGTAGGGCTAAATATACCAACATCATATCTAACACAAAGTATCCTAATTCATCGAGTGATTCCGGCTTCAAGGCAGAACTTTCATTGCACATACATGAAACAAACAGAAGAAGAAAAAACAACAGTTCAGATTATAGAGATAAGACAGGCTTGTGAGGAAATTCTCATTTACTGAACCAACCCAAGAGGTAAAAAGTTCAGATCTTTTGTACTTCGGTGCAGAAACACCACAACACATCTCGGCTGTGAATTCTGCGTATAAACATCATCAGCCCGTCTGGTTCTCTACGTAGCACCTGTATTATAGAAACCACAAGCTCAAAAATATTAGATTACAGTGAATATTGTGTTGTGTATATGAATGGGAAATTCAAGTATAACGTGTGTCCATGCAATGGTCAGGATTCACTTCAACAATTTGCAATCCAACATGTGGGTCTCATGTCAACAAATACGGTTCTAATCATTGGGAATATTGCATCATGAGGTGCTTGAGAATTTCCTCCAGGAAACAAAAGAGACCTTAAGCAAAATCAGTGGGATTGTACCTCTTCAGCAAACTTTATCAAGATAGTAGTGCGTGGTCGTTGTTGACCTTCCATGGGCACAAAATGAGCAGTAACAACAGCTGGAAATCCAGAGCCGTCCAAAACGCCCTTTGTTGAAAAGAACAGAACAGAATCAGGTCAATGACTGGATTTCGACCCTCCATTAGGCTCTAGCAATCAATTAGTCAATTGATGAATGAGGACACTTACTCGTACTATTCCAGCAACAAATGCCCCACAATTGAAAGTTCCCATGTCCTTTGGAATAGAAATGAATCTACAAAGCAGAGACAAAACTAGACCTTGCTATAAATTTATGTACGCAAAATCTGGTTATGTCCTTTGGAATAGACCTTGCTATAAAATTTATGTACGCAAAAATCTGGTTATGTCTAATTTTCAATTAAAATGATGAGAGTGAAGACTCTTTTACCTGTTGACAAGGAGCTCCTTTTCACTGATCATGTATTCATCTTCATGTTCAGTGCCTTTCTCCAGTGAGTCCGCTACCTAATCCAACGGCAAATGCAAAAACTAAGGGGCCAGCTAAGCAGTTGAGTTGCTTAATATATGATGACTTAATCTAATCCATGCAAATACAAACATATGATGCAAACATAAAGAAATGTAAATGAATCATAAGCTTCTGCCTTGCATTTTTAACAAAAGTAATTATGAAGGGCAGTCATGATTACATATAAGTACACAACAGTATGATGTTTCAATATTTCGAATGTCTTTCCAGTCTCTTATACCTGATCTTTCAACAGATAATTGAGTGGCCAAAAGACACAAAGAAAAGAGCAAGGCCATATAGATGACGAAAACCTATGAAGCAGAGACACTTTATAAGAAGAAGCAATAGTGTCAATGAGTTAATACTTCCTATAGAAACATGACAGTTTGATGGATGACAATTACTTAATGTAAAACTCAACTGCATGCGCCCACAACTGCAATAACCATAGCATAGCAACGACAATTGGCATTTTGTGTCTATGAAAATGAACTGCTTTCTCTTGGGGTGAAGAACGGGGAAGAAAAAGTTAAAAAGGATAGAGGAACTCACCTTTCCAAATAATACCTTCCACACTGTGCTGTGCACCAAAAGACAGAATACCTAATAGTCTTGTCTCCCTTCTGTTTCCCTACAGAATCAGAAAAGTATCATTACGTCAGTCATTCATGCAATGCAAAGGCACAGACACATTCCAGCTGGTGCGCCATGCCCAAACCAAAACCAACATAAGGTGTCAATTTTTTATCATACCAACGGTAATCAAAAGATCCAATATGCATCCACATCATTAAAACACAATTTATATTAGAAGCAAAGCAACGTTCACAAGACTATGACTCCGCAAGTATCCTATCATTTTAGGAGGACAAAGTTAATGAGCCTAAGGGATAGAGAAGTCTCATAATGGAGAAGAAAATATCATTAGGGAAGGTACCTCTAACAGGCTAGAGATTCAGCAGGAAAATTACCATGTTGAAGATTTCAACGCAAAATGTTGATAGGCATTTATCATAAAATTTAACTAGGTTCATAGTCGTTAAACATAATCAAAGACAATCCCAGGTTTCGTTATAATTAAGAAACTCACCAACATAAAGTTATTGATTGATTTTAACCCATGTTTTATGCCATTTGGTACTAGATTAGAAAATGAAACATCAGGACAAATCTATCTTGAGACTAATGGTCACCAGAATTATCAAAATTCACTTTCATACCCAATTCCTTTTCCTTTTTCCTTGCACAATCAAATTCATTAGAAAATCATCATTAAGCTGGATCCCTTGCATATCCAAGGGTGTAACTGCAATTCCTTGCATTTTAAAAAGTGATGAGGCTTTAAATGAACAGTTTTTATTATTTTCTATAGCAGGTATATGACAATAAAACCAAATAGACCATAATGCATGTTAAATCAACCAGAAAAATGGACCATCAGACAACCACATTTCTGGTTTATCCTACTGTCTGCATATTGTGTTCTAGTCCACTTCACCAGGTACTTGAATCATCACTGCACTACATTTAGATGATAATGAAACTTTATTGAAGAGTTCCCAAGAGCCATCATACCTTTTCTCTGTGGCAAAGCAGTTCCAAAACTCGCGCCCCAACAGCATATCCAGCATCCTCCAGTCTGATAGTGATGTTCAAAATAAATTACATGACATTAGAGTCAATTGTGATATCACATCAAGTCATCAAGTGTCTCGTTAAAAGCCTGATTCAATCTTCTGTTTCGTACAGTTTTTTTTCTATTCATACTCCATAAATTGCAAATAAAGTAAAGGACGATGATCATAATAATGACATACAACGTATAACATTGCATTAATCATTTACTAGGGCTAAAACCAGGGAAGAGACAATTCTCATCAGTGGAGTGACATACTCTGCGCAACCATGAGACAAAGTAAATTTAGTGATTCCAACTTAGAATCATATAGGAAAAATTAACAAAAACAAATTTTTTCACACTGCTTTATATTTCAACGATCCCGTCCGACTGGACAACTAAAGAATGTGCCATAAAAGAGCAATCACCTTCGTTCTAACTCAGCAATATTGTCGACCTGAGTTTGGTTTGTACTGTACAAGCTCTGAGAACAAGAACGCAAATGCACTCAAACTAACCTGCACCACCATCAAATCTACATATGATTACAAAAAATAAAATACCAATAAAATTATACAGGCAACTATACATATTTCGAGTTCAGCAAAATCAATCGAGGCTCAATTTCCCTCTTTCCAGGATACCAGACAGGTTGAACAGGAGCAGAATGCCCCGAAGAGTGAGATCTCAATAAAGCAAGCTGGGGAGAAAAAGGTTCTTATTCTACATGCCAAACAAGTTGCGTCGATTCAACCAATATATTCTCCAGACAATTTAAAGGGCAGGAAGAGAACAAAAAAGAAAAGAAGAGAAAGCAAGTAGATTGAAGAAGACAGAGGAACCTCTTGCTTGCCCTTGTTGAGGGGCCTTTCGAGGACGTTACTATACTGCTTGATCTTTCCAGCTCCGATCATCGTCAGAAATATTGCCTCTCACTGGAGCGAGTAAGTTGTAATCCCAACTCACTCAGTATAGCATATACGGAAATGTTGGAGCGGATCCAGATACTAAGTAAATCACGAAATGCAGATAATTAATCAGGCGGCTGCAGTTGATAACATATCAGCAGTCCTAACCGGACCAGTATCACACCGGAGAACGACCACGTGGGCAGACAACGGTCGACGGCGTCCGACGGCGAGCTAGACGAAGTGGGGAATGCTTGTCCGTCGACGAAGAAAAATGGATCTGCTTCTTCCACCAGACGAGATTGCGTTTTGTTGGGCTTGTAATTAGTTTTAATAATTCTGGCAAGAAAAAGAGTTTTATTAATTCGTTTTATTATTTATTTTCTATAAGGACATTATCGTCTTTCACTATTTTCGGGCTGCTTTTCCATGGACGTACAACCCTTTCATCCCAAATGCAGCCTATCGCTATGTACCTTCTATTGTATGATCTGTGATTCTGTGTACTATTTTTTGATGATAAAAAAGGATTGAATTGTAAATTATTAATGTCTTATACAATACTTTCCCAGGATACCTTTGAGAAATAATTTTTAATATAAAATATAAATATTTTATAATAATTAAATTGCTTTTTTAAATTTTATTTTTTTATTAGTGTGAAGATATTTAATATAATTGTACCATTGTTTAATGTCAAATTTACCTGAAAAGTATATATATTTTTTATGATATAAAAAAAAGCTAACTTTTATTAAAATACATGAAATAATTAAAAGTGTCTTATAATAAAAATTAGAGTAAGTACTCTCACCGGTCTAAATATAAACATTTTTAAAAAAACCTGTATATCAATAAAGTCCTCGATCTTACAAAAATATATATTGTTTTTTTAACATCTACTCCCAATTATCAATGCATTTCCTAATTAGTGAGAGATACATTTATATGAAGATCTAGATTAATAAATACAAAGGTAAAATAAAAAAAATTATATATGTTAGATCACCTATATTTTGAACCAAAATTAATTGAAAAAAAAACGCTTATATTTTGAATTGGAATGAATATTGCATTTAGGGAGAAGCTGAAATTGGGGGGAAATTGGGAAGACAGGACCCAATTGTTTAGATTTCAATATGGATTCTCTTAAATTTAAAAAATTAAAATAATAAAAAATGCTCCAAAGATAATAAAAAAACAAAACATTGGATGTGACAAATGAATTTTTTTTATAGAAAAAATTACATTAAAATCTCACAAAAAAATTAATTATTATAAAATTCATTGATAATTAATATAAAGTCACTTATAATAACCTTATAATAATTAATTTTTTTTATATAAGGCCTGTATATAATTTTTCCTTTGGTTTGAATTACAACTCAATTTGAAGAAGATTGAGTGTAATTTGTATAAATTTACAAAACACTTGCAGTTCAAAGGCATACAAATGACATTAATTTGCATATACTTTACCATTAATTTATAATAAAATCATTTTTATACATAAAAATAAATAAATTAAAGCGTAATGCTATGATCATTATCAAGGAGAAACAACACATGTATAACTGTACCTCAACAGCATAGAGACTCTATTTCTCTTTTGTGGTCATCCTTCTGCTTTACTTGTATCAACTTAAAAAGTTATGGATAGATTGTACACGTAAAAGATCTAAAATGGAAAATGAGATACATACGATTCATAAATCATATAAGCTAAATTATGTTTAAAGAGACATAGGTAGACATCATGCATTCTTTTGAGAGTGAATCTCCGCTTACAGCAAAAATGAAGCACCATGTCATTAGTGAATCAAGTAAAATCCTATTGGCCAATGAGGGGAAATTAGAATACAAGGAAATGAAAAGAAACATCCTCCTGAATTTCTGGTTCTTAGATTTTCTACCAAATGATGAAAAAAGAAACAGGCCACATCTTGATAGGTGGTAGTATTTGATGTGAGGCATTTTTGTTAAACTAATAAAATTAGTCTGAACCCTTCCAACCAGTTAGGAATTAAGATAAGCATATTCATATCAAAGGAAAAGAAAATATTGAAGCAAGAGTTCTAAATTGTACTATTATGAGAGAGTAATTCACTAGCTCACAACTTCCACTTCATCTCTCTTGTTATCAGTACTGTCTTCCTCATTGACAAATCGCAGATCTGGATAATTTCTATGGTTCAGCGAATGCAACCAAAGAGCAACAGCTCCATCGTTCTTCTCTGTGGAAGCAATATGAGAATATATATACTTCATCTTGAAATCTCCAGCTTCTTTCTCATATGCTTTCATTGACAACTCTTCGTGACTATCATTCCATTTCTGGTTATATGATGCAAAGAAGCACTCATCCAAGTATAAACCAACCTCTGGGGCAGTAGGCACATTAATGTTAACATCCCTGCAGTTAAAAAGATGAAATCGAATGTGAACTCATATTGTCCATCAATTTGAAAAGTTAATAAAAACTACAGGAGCTTTCTGTACTTACTTCTGCAAAGCTTTTTCAATAAGTGACTCTGGCGCGCAATTTCTCATGATTGCTACAGCAAGACCCATCATCTTCCGTATCTGATGAAGCATGAAGCTCTGTCCCACAACCTCACACTTCACAAATTCAATGCCCTCAACTGTGACAGTGGTGTTAGCATCAAATGAAATTATGAAACGCCTAGCAGCAGGGTCCTCAGCTTTTGTTCTTGTGGTGAAGTTATGAAAATTATGGGTCCCTCCAATATTTCAAAATTCTATTAAACCTCTCCTCTCCTTCTGACCATAACAGAATCCACTTCCCTTTATAGTCTTCTCTCTTCATTAACATTTTCTTTCCCAACAATGCTTGAATCATCCACTGATCCACCATTCGTTTGAGTACTTTCGTGATGGGCAGGAGCCACAGACTTGAGGTCAAGTTCAGAATTCAAATCCTCCACTGAATTTTTTTCTTCATTACTGGATTTCTTATTTAAATTATCACCATCAGTTTTGTTCAAAGAAACCCCAAAATCCTCTGTCACTCCAGAGTTAGGAGCAGGATCTCCTTTGGATGAACTGCAAACATCCATAGCTTCTAATCCTGTACTGTGCTTACCAACTAAGCCAGGCACCTTCCGACCTCTCTCAGAACAATCCAAACATTTAACAAGTTCATTTTCAGACCCCACACTAGCCAACACACTCTCTCTATCGCGATGTGAACATGGATCAAGAGCAAACACAGGAATGAGATAGACATACCTCCTCCGATCACAGAACTTCTTGGCATTAAAAGATGCTGTGACCCGCTTGTAACCAAAGATCCGTATCTGAGGAGAAAGGTTTGAATTAAGGCGGACAACAAGACCAGGTGGATCAATATAAAAACGTCCTGAGACAACCTGACCAACAGCACTAACACCTTTATCAGTTCGGGCAGAGCGAGCCCAGTCATACCTTTTAGGATTTCCACGATCCTGTTCAGGGACAGCTCCAGACACAAATAAGGCTTCTTCAAGGTCACCTTCAATGGTCTTTGCACCAGGATTTTTCTGCATGCCTTGATAGCCAACACCACAGTAAGCAAAGAAAATGGCAATTTTGCGGCGCTTGTATCTTTTCTTGGTGCCCATTGCAGTTGTGCATTCTTCATCATCAGAAGTGGTGGTAGACATTTTAAGTTTTTTTAACTCAGGTTCTTCTCTGACAACTGGCGGCGGCGGTGCAGGTGGTGGTGAGCTCGTCACTTTCACATCTGAGTTTTCCATTTTTAAGAAGTGATAAGAATACGGCTTGTATAGGATAATGGTAAAAAATCCGGACTTTTCAACAACCTGGAATGAGATTCAGATTTAGAGGTCACTGGCCCGGCCACCAGATCAATCTATGGCCAACCCAATGATATCTACATGATGCCACAACTAATCACTAATTTTAAATATCACACACACACACATATATTAAGAAACTTGCACTAGGTTGAAAATTCATGCTTTAAAAAAAAAAGAAGTAAAGATATCTTTAAACACAATTTCTTTCAGCTTTTAACAAACAAATCATCAGAACTTGGAAGAACTTATAAAATGTTTTCAAAATGGATACGCATGTCGCTTCTGATCGGAGCAGTCCAACAAATCAATCAAAAGAGTTGAGCTAAACGCAGAAATACAAATAGGCACAAAGGTTATCCGACAAGGTCAGTAGCAAGCTATAATGGCCATTGACAATATTACTTCAAGAATACAAGCAAACACCGATTAAGCATATCAGCAGAGAACAAACAGCCAGTAATTACATATACGGATCAAAATCCTCTAAGGTTAGATGTCTAAAGTCCCGCGAATTTAAGAAAATACTAACCGTTGATTAAATCAGGTGGCATAAACTTGTTAATAAAAAATTGAGAGTACCTTTTTTATGGGCTAACAATTAATATTGCATTGAAACCACTCAACAACTCAAGCAAAGTACCATTTCTTTTATTAGATGACCCAATCACAAAAGTTTGTTTAATCAACGGCTAATATGATATCAAATTCACAGAACTTTAGACAGCTAAATTCAGAGAATTTTATCCTACACATATAACTCACTGGTATAAAGAATTGATTAGAGAGAGAAAGATTATAACAGTTTGCCTCAGCTGTTATATAATTTCTAAGACAGTTGAGAAAGGTGGAAAGACTTGAGCAATTGATTTGAAATCGAAACCACACGAGAGATCCCGAAACTTTTCGATTAAAATAGAGCTGGGTAAGATCCATCAATTGCTTGCCACATTCATACCATGAACAATGGTCCGGGGAAAATGCTATTTGAGTATTTCCAAACTCATAAAGTAAAATGAAAGTTGAGAGAGTCTGGAATCTGCTATGTCAAATTATGAAACTCATATACAACTGATGGAAGGGAAACTGTGTGCAAGTCTTACCAGGAAGAGGAAGGAACAAGAGATGCTTTGATAAGAGTGTCCGCCCAACTCTAAGTACTGCTGCTTGCTACTACGAAGGAGCCAAAGGGGAGAGGGAGGGACGGAGGCAAAGACGCTTAAACCCTCACACCCTCACTTTTCAGGTTCTCCGTTTGCGGAAGGAAGGCGATGGTTAGGAAGAGCAAGGACTTCGAACAAAGCACTCCATTTCTCAGTGAGCACCACCCCACGTCCTGCGCTTCCACTGTCTCTTTAATTTGGGCCTAAAATCTGCAGAAATATCCACAATACAGTTATTCCAATTGGGCTGTCTGTGGTTTTTGGGCGGTTTTTTAAGCCGAGAAAGGTTTATTATTATTATTATTATAGATAATATAGTTTGTACTCCTTAACTTAACATTTTTTTTAAAAAATTAAATATTAAAAATATAAGATATTTTTGAAGATTTAAATATTAAAAAATATAAATTATTTTAATCTTTTTAAATGTAATCATTACTTTTTTTTAAAAAGTGTCTCTATTGATTAATAACTTTATATTTCTTATAAAGTATTTAATAGGAATAAATATGAAAAAATAGGGTTAATTTAAAAATAGGTTGCTACTTTATTCGGGGTGAGATTCAATTAAAAACATGTTATATTTTTTAACAGAGAGAGTAGTCTTTATATTTTTTAAAATATAGATTTAATCATTAAATTTTGACTTCACATAATTCAATTTTTTGTATTTATTGAATTAAGAGATTATAGTTTTTAGGTAATATTTAAAAAATTTTTAAAATTACCCTTTATAAGAGAGAAAAGTAACATGATATTACTTTTTAAATTTGTCATATAGAGGTTTATTTAAAATTCTACACATTTTTATTTTTTTTGCTTTTTTTATATTGATATTAATAATATTAATAAAAATAACTTATAAAGAGAATTAACGGACTATAATCAATTCTGTAAAATGGCCCCATGGAAGATGACCACCCATTTCAAAGAACCTGGGCGGCCCCAATTCTCAAATAGCTTGCCATTTCATTTCTCCTCCAATGGATGAATATAAATACATCTCCACTCCTCAACCCAAATTGTTTGAATCAACAATTTTTTAGGACCCATTTGTTTTAATTTTTAAATAAAAAATCACTTAATTTTTTAGCAAATTTCTTATGCTTATGAGAAGTTATTTAAAATTACCGTTTCAAAATAATCAGATGGGATAGAAATAAAAGGTTGAGACACATGAAAATATAACATCTAAAAATTATTAAACCAATTTTTTTTAATTGTTGCCAAATGCAAAATATTTTTTGTGTTTACAATGTCTCAGATGAACCTAGTTATTCATAACTAATTTATATGATAAACGATATAGTGCATGGAGTATTTAGGGGGGGGAACTGCTCAAGCAATGACAAGCTTTAAAAATCATTTAAATTTAAATTAAATATTTTTAATTTGGGAACTTGATGCAACCACCTACGTTTTGGAGCTAAATTTGTGCACCATCAGTTGTTCTAACTAATATTCTTGCTAACTGCTAAGAGAGTAGCTGACATAAATTAGCCAACATAAACCAACCCGATAATCACATTCTAAAATCTTGCTAACCAAAACTTCATTATCTACTACCACTTTGCATGTGACATCTCTACATTCTTTCCAAATCCATATAGTTAACCTCATTTAATGAAATAAGACTCGTGGATGTTATTTTGAAGTGTTGTTTAGAAAAGAATGTAAAGAGATAGTATGGAAAGTAATAGTATAGAATCAAGGTCCACAAGTGTATGGAACATAAATCGGATCCATATTAATGCATTTATGTATTTATAGAGGATAACATAAGAAAATATGATTGTACATTCCATATCTTAAAATTACTGTCTGACCTTTCTCTGATGCTTGATCTTTCCGCTACACCTAGCAAACAACCTATGAACCTAACAAAACCAGTAGTTTACGGATGTTAAGAATTCTTAAAAGCTTATGAACCAAGACAATTATGAACAGGCAGGTAAGCATGTCATAGATGGCCTGATTGAAAAGTGTTTCCTGATATGCTGACACGTGTCTATCTATAACTACTTTGATCTGCAATTTTTTTAAAAAATATACATAATATTGAAGAATTTCTTAGCTCGGTTAGCCTTGAATTTATAGCCCACCGTTCACCAAAACAATAAAAGAATACAATTTATAGCCCACCGTTCCAGTAGATGAGTCACACCTCTCTCACAGCAAATTAACCAGCAAAACCTTGAGATCCTGGAAAAGAATATATCATTCATGAGTTGAGTAATTCACAAAAAAGAGGAGAGAATATAAGTTACCAAATGATGTGTAGAAAATAGTTTCCAGATTTTTCAATTGGAGGAAGCTATGCTAACATCCACTCTTTAACGTTAAACTAAATTCCAGATCTATGAGGAACATAAATCAATCCTAGCATAGATCCTATAGAAGATGATAAAGAAAATTCTATAGAAAAATATAAGCTTCATCAAAAGCATTTTGAACAACAATCTGCTCACAGTATTGTTCATCAATGAATTCACATAAAGGGTCAAAAATAGTCTTACAGTTTCCTTGACCAGATCATCATCCCAGTCTTATTGCTAGCCACCAAAAACTGCAATCCGCATGTCTTGGCTGCCTTCTTGATCTTCACGAACAAAAAAAAAAAAAGTGAACACGGAAGGTAAAATATATCCATTGAGTTATCAGATGACAACATTTCAATTAAACAGTATATCTCTGCAAAAAAAAGCCAATCAAATGGAACATACAAGTCTAAAGGCAAAAGATGCATGTCCATAAATACAATAGATTTGTTTCAATACAGTTACTGAGAAGCATTTCTATTTGTATAAAATAAGTTACAGTAATACATTCAAAATGGCCACAAACATCAAATCATAGTCAGTGCTTCATGTCCTTAATCATGGCAAGACCATATCAGTTCATGCTAGAAAAGCCATGTAGCCAGACAAATCAACACGCAAGTAAATGAGTAAAAATTTATAATTCACAGAAGCAATGGTTTCTAAGCATTGATACAACATTTAGACGGCATTAACTTGCTATTGATTGCATCAATTACCACATTCAAATATCAAGAATTTTAAACCCTTTTCCACGCCATACAAAAGAATCAAAATGAGGTCTTTCCATGTTTCTGAAAAGTCAAAACCATAGATAGATAAGAAGGTTCAACAAGTCTTTTTATTTTTCTATTCACGAAGGAAAAAAAAAACAGCTATGGAGTTCAACTTCCTATGAAATGAACCCATGGTGCATTTGCAAAGAAGAAGAAAAAGAAGAAGCAATTATCAACTGAGTAAAGAAGAAAGAGGAACCGCCTCACTTAACAGGATAACTTCAGATATATATCAAAGAACAAGAATTCATTCTATATCATAAATAGAATCATCTCATCTTCAAAGATTGTACTTCTGAGGTCATTAAAACAGAATCCAAATTATTTGATTGATTTAAGAAAAGTTGAGAGTCAAAGAATGGGAACTCATAAATAATACCTTCCAAATCATCAACAATAGTGACAGGCAATGGATCTAAACGAGGTCGATATCCTTCATCTTTCATCAATTTGGTCAAAAACCGTAACTCTGATCGTATCTCATCTATCTGTGGATGCATCTGGTCTCCGACAACAAAAACATGAACTAAACTCTTTAACTCAATCCAGCTACAACCAGGTTCTTTAGTCACCCCTCGGACTTTCATCATCCTTCTTACACGCTCTACATCTTCCCACTTGCCCAAGGCTGTATAAATACTAGATAACAAAACATAAGTGGATGATTCTGGTGAGCCTAGCTCAATCAGTTTTTCTCCAGCATAGGCACCAAGATCATAGTTACGATAGTTCCTACAGGCCCCTAATAATATGCGCCACAAACACAAACCATGATCAATTTTTGCTGATTCAATGAACTCTCTTGCTTCATTCAGTTTACCAGCACGGCTCAAGATATCAACCATGCATGCATAATGCTCTACTGTGGGAACAATGCTGAACTCATCAAACATCATCTTGAAATAATCCCAACCTCGCTCCACAAGTCCCATATGACTGCAAGCAGAGAGAAGATTTACAAACGTGACATGGTCTGGTTTTGTGCCCTCCAAACGCATCTCCTCAAACAACTCCAAGGCTTCATTGCCATAACCATTTTGAGAAAGACCGGATATCATTGCATTCCATGAAATTACATCTCTGGAAGGCATCCTACAAAAAACACGACACCCTTCATCCATATTTCCACATTTTGCATACATGGCAGAAAGTGCACTTCCAATTGGGATTTCCAAGCTGAAACCGTACTTTACAATCCGCGCGTGGATTTGCATTCCTTGATCTGAAGCAGCTAGGCTAGAGCAGGCTTTTAGGACACTTGCCATAGTAAGCTCATTGGGAATAATTCCTTCCATCTGCATTTTGCAATACAGATTTAAAGCACCTTCACTATCCCCATTCTGTGCGTACCCTGTTATGATAGAAGTCCAAAGAACAATGTCAGGTTGCCGTAGATAATCAAAGCCCTTGCGAGCATCAGCAATGCTGCCACATTTTGCATACATGTCCACTAAAGCTGTCAAAACGTACATGTGTGATTCATAACCTAACCTCAACGCATAACTATGCATCTGCTTTCCTTCTATAAGAGTACCAAGGTCACTGCAAGCGTTGATAACCCCGACAAGAGTAAATTCACTGGGCACGACTGCAGAGAGATGCATACTGTGAAACAACTTCAACGCCTTACCTGAATCCCCACTTTGTGCATAACCAGTAATCATTGCCGACCATGTGATTGAATTTTTACCCCCAGATAAGTAAAATGTCTTAAATGCATCATCCAAGCTCCCACATTTAGCATACATCGTTACAAGAGCATTTTCCACAGAGGTAATTGACAACAGCCCATTTTTAGCAGCGAGAGAATGAATCTGCTTACCAGTGTCTACAAGTTCAGGAATTGTCAGAGCACTTAGAACACTAGTAAACACGAACTCGTTCTCACCCTCAGTCTCACGACGCATGGATTCAAAAATCTCCAGAGCCTCTCCAGCCATCTCTTGAGTAGCATACCCAGAAATCATTGTAGCCCAAGAAACAGGATTCCTTTCAGGCATTCTATCAAACAACTTACGGGCTTCATCAACAAACCCCGTTTTGCAATACATATTAAGAAGCGAACTCCCAACAAAAACGTCATAAAAGCTTGCAGTTTTGATGGCGACCGCGTGCGCTTGCCGGCCAACACAAATGTCAGACAAACTGGAAGCAGCAGTAAAGACACCAGAGAAAGTGTGGGCATTGGGAGAGGTATTATCTGCGATCATACGCCGAAAGAGTTCTATGACGAAGGAAGAGCCAGAGTGTCCCCGTTGGGAGTACCCGTTGATGAGACAATTCCATGAGACAACATCTTTGACACGAATGTTGTCGAAAACAACCTTGGCGTTGGGCAAGTGACCGCACTTTGCATAGAAATTAACAAGGCTATTTTCAAGGAAAATACAAGAAGGTGAGACGGTTTTGATGATGCGAGCATGCAATGCTCGACCTTTGTTGGCATGTTTCAGCTGAGTGTACTGTAGGAGCTCCTTGAAGAACTCATTAGACAAAGGAGAAAGCCGCATCAACTTTCTTCCCACGAACTATGGGCATTCACATGGTGTACTACTGTATTTCTATTTCCTAGTGTTGTGCACTTCATCTGGCCATTGGTTAAATCTACATGTGAGAGAGTGACACGTAGGTAAGAAAGAATGAACGAGACAATAAATCGATCCACGATCAGATGTAGCTCCTTCAATATCTGAAACACGAGATGTATTAGAATGAACAGATCAAAAGAGAGCAGTGGAGGAGAGAGACACGAGGATGGAGATTCGATGAGAGGAGAGGGAGGAGATTAGCAAGTTGGACGAGCAGGCTGGGCTGATGGCAAGAAGCTCAACAGCAGCTCACAGTGACGGTGGAGAGAGCCAAGGAGACTGACGAAGCAATGCCTAGGTAAAATCATTTTTCTCATAACGATAAACCAATATTTAATAAAATATTTTGTTCATGATCCATTTGATATGGTCACCACCATTAACTTTGAATCGTTTCATAAGTTTAATAACCGGTCTGGTTAATTATGTAAATAAAATGAAAATATAAAATGTCGAAGATAATACTGGTTTGCACAAATAAAAATATTCTATTCTTCTGGGAAACTTCATGATTTTATTGGTTTTTCAATTTACATTCACATTCTCTTTTCTAAAGTGACTTTGATTTTTCTGTTATTTCAAAAATTATTCTCCATGAACTTGTTGGGCATGATTGAGAAATATGATGTCACTTATGGCCATCATGCTATCATATGTTCTTAGAATTTTCAGGCCAAAAAAAGTTTAAAAAAATACTGCAATTTTTTTATTTTCAAAGAAATGTAAATGTGATTTTCCAGGTATCGTTAGTTATGTTTAATTAAAGTATAGCATGAAAAACAACTATTGTTCTATAACCCCTTTATCCTTTTGCTATGATAACATTGTGTCTAGGGTGATGGAACCCCGTAGCCTTGCCCTACCCGAGCTAATCGTGTTGGTCGAATTGGGCATTGCCTGAGAATATATATATATATATATATATTGTCTTAATTTTGTATAAAATTATTATTTTGTAACATTATTTTTTATATTTTTTAATTATATTGTTTTTATGATTATTATAGATATTTTTTATAATTTTAAATTTGTATAACATTTTTAAATATTTTAAATTGATTTTTCTAACTTTATAAGTTTATATTAGATAAGAATTAAAAAATAATTGTTAAGCATCTAAAATTTTAAAAATTATTAATCTTAATTCTGGAATTAATTTTATAAAAAATATTTTAAATAATTTTAATTATATTTTTTGTTGATGAAAAATTATCTTCATAATTTTAAAAATATTTATTAAAAATAGTTTTGGGTTGGGTCAAACCCTACCGAAATTATTGCATCGAGTTGAGATGAAGCCAAGCCCGCCTCTATCCATATACGGCTCTAATTATGTCTAATCATAGTCAACTTGAAATTAATGTAAACTGTTTTTAAAGTATTATACATATTTAGGTTTAAATATTTATAAATACATAACAATGTGATATTAAGACTATGGAAGGTCATATCGTTTGAAAGTAATGAATAAAGTTCTTTATCGAAGTCCCAAACCACATTCTATTTTTGCTCATGAACAAATGATTGAGTAAAATGAAGTTTGAAAGAAATAATATAGTCGGTCAATTGGCACGAGAAAAGTTAGGAGAGACAGAAAATCTTCTAAATAAAAGGAGGTAATTTATTGCCGTTTGGTTCAAATAAATGTAAAAGCTTTAAGGAAGTTAAAAGGTCAAACTTCTCAAAGTAACCTCCAAAAAAGGCTTCTTTAGCGTTTTATGTCAACTCATGGAAGGCATCTTCAAGATTAAATCCTCTAAACCCAAAACAAGAATATTTGTATTTAACGTTAAAAGTTAAAAAGATAAACGTTATTATATATTTATAAGGATAAGAAACTTACTTTTCCCTTTTATCCCTTTAACATGTTTATAAAAAAAAAATAATCGATTTAATTCCAATCAAATTGATTTTATTAGTTGTTAACTTGTTACATCAAAAGGTTAGAATCTTGAACTTCTATTCTCACTTTACCCAGCCCTACCCCTTAAAAGGATGCTTAATGCTTAATGCTTAATGCTTAATGCTTAATGCCAATGGACTAAATTGTTATAATGAATTAACATATACAAAATCACCATAAACGAAAAATAGTTTGGTACAATGAAAAGGCCAATATTGCTTTTTTTTTATATATAGAAATTCTCCTCAAGTTGCTTCTCCTGGCAAAAAGTTTGCAGCCTCTATCCACAATCAGAATGTTGTATAACAAAGGATCTGGTGCATAAAAAACAAGCCAAAATCCAATTAAAAGGAGAAAACAAAACAAATATTATCAACACCACAAAAAATACAAGTCTTCCCCTACTGCTTCTTTCTTATAGGGAAATTTTCCTCAGGCTGCTTCTGCCAGAGATAGTTCGCAGCCTCTATCCATCTAGGAGCAACTAGCAACTTCTTCTCCTTCATTGCCCAACGTGCCTTCCCAGTTCCCCTATCAGTGCTAACTATATGTGTCACTGAGGGGTCAACTTTCGTCAGACACATGGCCCCCATTTGTTCTGCCATGTCACGGAGAGTCAGCAACATGGCATCAGCGATTCGGCTGAATACAACCACACATCCTTGCAGGAATTCACTTTTTAGAGATTTCAACACTTGTACAAATATGTTCGGACAAAACATAGCAAATCTCGCTTAAAACAATCCTAAATCAAACAAGTACACAGTATCAACAACACAGTTTAATAGCAACTTCATTAACAACCTGCCTCACATCTCAGTCTGCAAGATTGTCTCCAAGTTCCTAAAAAAGGATCCAATCCAAGGTCCATTAGTTCAACGTATATCAGAAATTGCCAAATATTGACAGAATGAAAGTGACATACATCAAAGAATGTGTGATGGACTTGCTTGGGAACATTAAGAATTCTTGCAAGTGCCCCAACAGATTCACATTCATCGCTCTTTGACTCCGCAAGAGATGGACAATTGAAACCAAATTGCCGGCAACTTGAAGCGAAAAATTGGTATCTTTCCATCACTATCAGATTGTCTTTATGCTTCATCCATGCCTACAAGTACTAGACAACCTTTTTCAAAATCGGAAGTAGCAAACAATTTCCATACAGACGACAGGAAAGAAATATGGCTTTACATCATAAAAACCACGTTGAATAGTAGTATCTTAAAAGATAATGGTCATCATACTAGCATCCTGGGCAAGTTTTTTTTCCCCCTTTTTTTATCATTGACTAGTTTGATAAGAAAACAGAGAAATGTAGCTACAAGACATTCAATTCTTTCATAATTTCATACCCATGTAAATAAGTCTTTTTCTAAGGAAAAACTCTTGAACAGACTTCCACAAGGGACAACTATCCATTCATACAAACATGCCAATCATGCAGATGAAAATTACAAGCCAGTGAATTGGAATTTGCTTACATTTTCTGTATCACCAAGAATGAGGACAGCACTTTCTTGCCCCAGGACAATATCAAGACCCTTCTAATACTTTTAAGTGCCATCATCTCGAGAAATCACCTTAGAATGGAAGTATTCTTCCTTAAGATCAAGCAGCTTAGACATCTCTAAGGCATAGGACTGGTCTCCCATGGTATATATGTACATTTCAAACATTTCACTTGCTTCTTTAAGAAATGTGTGGTCAAAAGGCCTCAACTTGGACATCATATGCACGTAATTCATCTTGAAGAGGTTGCCTTTAGACACATCTATAAATTTTACCATGCAAAGATTTAGAAATGCGACATATATGAAAAATGATAAAAGACACCAGGAAATTAAAGGTGAAATGAAATCATGCAAGGCACGTCAAAAAATAAATTCATACAACTAAGATGATCACAAGTCTGACATGTCTTGCTTTATCAAAGTAAGAATTCATATAACATGTGAATATATTCATAAGCCGTGTTTTCCCATGAGACAGACGCCAATTGCTAAATGCATAGCAAAAATACCCTGAGGTCTCAGCAAAAAATGAAGTCTTCATTTTCTGACAGTTCACAAAGCTTGTCAGACAAGATTTCCAAGTGGTATTAACTATCAAATTGTACAAAGACTGCATAAGCATATTAGTACTTTTGAAAATTTTCAAACACAATAGTTAAAAAAAGGACACATTTATTCTTTACCGGCAAGGGTAAAAATAACATGGTCTCCAAGTATAAGGTCACTTCTATGTTACAATGAGAAATACAGTCAACAAGGTAGATTTCTTGATATTCACTAAAAACAAGAAAGGTGTATTAAATGAAAAATTATGCATTATGCATAACTAAAACCAAGAGAGACCAAGGGAGGCACCAGTGAGAAGAGTGGAACATATAACTTTGAGTCCGATTAAGAAGGGTAGAGGAAGGCCTAAGAGAACACTCTTGAAAGTTGTTGAACGCGATCTCTTAATTAATAATATTCTTAAAAGTTTGATAAATGATAGAGCACAATGACGTCTTGCAATCCATGTAGCCGACCCCACCTAGTGGGATAAAGGCTTGTTGTTGTTGTTGTTGTTGTATGCATAACTAAAACCATTATATATATATGAGCAGTAATTATCATGCATACGGGTAACATAATAACTTGTCAAAGAATCTGTCTGGTTCAGTAAATACTCCTCTTCTAAGTTCAAATCAACAAACTGAGTAGAATTCAGTAATGTGTGATCTAGATAAAGAACCAAATACAACTTTTTGCAGCGTGACATTCTTCATGTCATCATTGCACGATCTAGATATCTCCTCATTATGAAGTCTCAGTCCCTGTAAATTCAAAATAATTCCATCAGAATTCTAGTCACAAGTCATATCACCAGCTAATCAAGACATGAAATTCAAAAAAGGAGTTCTCTATCCGTAACTTGTGTATGTACCCAAATGTCACCCCATATTCTCCATCCTGCCCACAGCGTATGCACATATCTCCAAATGAGCCAGGATGCATGGATACATCTTCCTTCACAGTTATATCTGCGACAACAAACAATAAAATACTGAGTGCGGCTAAGAGGAAAATGTTACAGCATTATCTCTTATATCATAATTTTCTTTCTAAAAAAAGTAATGCATAAAGAAATTCCTACTAGGCTCAGCAAAGTAAATGAACACAACAAATAAGACCATCAAACTCATTGTTCTTGACGAGTTGTTCTGGAGTAGATGCCTTTGTCTCCTCTCTGCTTTCAACTTTACGTCTTTTAAAGCTGCATCAATTTATAAATTGAAACAAATTGATGCATAAATCAATATAACTTGACAAAAATATAAAACAATAGCAAAATCATAACATTATATCAGGACAAAACTTATATAGATATT